ATTCCAAGCGAGTAAAACCGTTATATTATAAAAAATAATGTTTAAAACCAACTTCTATATATTCGGTCCAATGTAGGTACTTACATATGCTATGGTCAACGCCATCCATAAGCTTTATTACTGTCAATATGCTCGTAGAAGAAAATAACGAGTAACGTGACGTAAAAAAGTTCACGAGTAAGTATACTCGAGTATACTCGTTCAAATAAAACTCGTTTATGTCAACTGAAATGCTTTTTGGAAGGATTTATTTCTCCGATATTTCTAGCTCGACTTTGAAACGTGAAAAACTAAAATATAAAGTTAACTCAACATATTTCATAAATCGGATGACGTTATAAACAAGTCGGTAGCCATGTAAGTCGCAATGCAGGACAATATCAGATTATACGAACGCAGTATATTGCTACCGATGCATATGGTATAAATTTACGATTCGCCGCCTACCCTGCAGTGTCCCCGGTATTTTGAAAGCGTTGTTTACTCGAAAAGTACTTTTACATGGATTTGTGTTGCTACTATCTGGATTGTAGGCAGGTTGGGAAATATCAGTGTTGAAACTTGAATCTTTAGAATTGAAGTGTTGGTATGTGGGTAGTTTTCTTTGACTTAAATATTAAACAAAGGGCTCTCAAGAATGTACCTATGGAAACTAACATCTCATCCACCCTTTCTGAATAAGGTTGGGAAAAGTAGGAATTTTATAAGCAACATTGGTTGGAATAATATATCACGTAAATAGCTTGTCTTATTAAGCTACCTGATTGCTGAAACCGAGATGACTTGGTTTTTTAGCTCTGCTAATAAAATTATGTCGACGTAGTCACGGCCTCAGCACGGAGCACTAGAAGGAAACGGGGTAGTTTTTAGTCAATAAAAATCTGAGAAGTCATGTGATGATTATCCCCTACCCCCTCAAAAAAGGCTCGAGTGGGGACTTATCAAACATTTATTGTTAAATAATTTAATTATCTGAACATTATTCTTCTTCCCTGTGGAAGTTTTTTGGCATCGATTAATCGTCACATAGGAGAAGTAAGGGACTAAAAAAATAACTACAGATACATGATATAGATACAATGATGTAAGTAAAATGGTATAAATAAGTTACCTAAAAAAATTCAATTTTCAAAAACGACACACTGATATTTGTCTTGTTTTCGTATGTTTAGACCTAGACGACAAAGTGAGATAGCATGATTCAATAATCGCGAGTGAAAAAGAGACAAATATGAAAAAAGTGTGGCTAGTTAGCCACATTGTAATGTATCACTAGGTGAGCGCTTGTAACCTATCTACACCTTTTATACTTATCATTGTATAGATACATAAAGATTGTAAATTTATTATTATGTTGTCGAACTAGTAACTAAAATAGCAACAATTGCTATGACAACATGAAATATGCATATGAGTAATGAGTTAATATTTTGTTATCTACATATAATATGAAAATAACAAACATAATCAATATCTATAATATGTAATAAGGTCAATTATTATAGACAGATAATGATTTTTTTATATTACATAGATATATTTTTACGATTGTGTGATGTGTTTTTGTTTTTTCGTTTAATTCCCATAAAGAGGATTAGATAGATTCGATGAACATTGATTAGATACTACATATCGTGTCTTTCGCAATAATATGAAATATTATAAATGGTTTTACTAAAATTTTTACCAAATTTTTTAATAGGAAAATCATGCAATTTTCAATCAGGAGAGTGTTCGGGGAACTGCACAACTTTAGCCTTTTTTTCTGCTCCTCCTAGTCCTTTCCACCATCGTACTAATAAGTAATCGACGAAAAGTTACCACATTTCATGGTGGATACCCCACTTAACGCTCGATGCGATTCTCCTAAAATTTTACCATAAGAACCGTTAAGTAGTGGAATTCTTTGTTTAAAGGCTTATAATTGATGTGTGCCTTCAAGGTCCGAGTAAATAGGTAGCTTGTGGGCACGTCTGGTTTACCGTAGGTTGTATTAATAACTACCAGATGAGATAGAAGGCAAGCATCGGCCCATTATTATAAAAAAAATTAGATGATCGGAGGCACAATCCCTCTTCTTAATCTCTGAAACCCCTAACCTCAAAAGACAGGCCACGCGCTCATGATTCCTTTGGTGATGGGGTTGTGATTTCATACTTATAATTAAAAATTATAAGCCCAGGTTTCCTCACGATGTTTACTTAACCGTACGTCAGTGGTGTCTAAATAATCATAGAGAGTACATATAACTCGGAAAAAGTCACATTGGTCCATGCCAGGTTTCGAACCAACACCCTCATGCATGAGAAGCGGGCTCCTTAACCTCCGGGCCACCACGACAAAATATAACAACTAATTCATTTAAATAAAACATATCAATAAACTGGAAACATATTATTTGTACCTCTACCAAGCCTATCAACAAAATTCAAAATCATGGTAAGATTCCATTTCAGATTGTATCATTGAACTTCTGCACTCTTGTTATCATATTCAACGTAATACAATGTTTCACACGGAATGGATGACATCGCTTATAATTTGTTTTCATTTCTATCTTTTCTGATTTACTGATTGTAATATTCAAAACATCATGACAATGATTTTTATTTATTTTATTCAGATAAAATGAGTTAAAAATAACGTAAAATGTTTTTTTTGTCTATAAACTGGTAAAGTAACCGTGACGCTGTGCTTGTGTCGAGCACCGCTGTGTCTTCATTATCAGTGACAGATATCTCTCAAACACGGCCTTAGTCGAGGAACTGGGAAGCCGTCTTCTCTTTCTGTGAAGTTGTTATGCTCGCAAAGAAGGTGGTAGAGAGAGTGAAACTAGGAAGGAACTATCTTCCTCGCGCCCTTGCCACCGCCGGAGAAGACCATTCGGGCGTTGGAAATCGCTCGACGATCCGGTGGCTGCCAATGTTAAGCCGGGATTGCGAGTTCAACACAATAACGTATTGTGACCCCGCCCGGTGCAGGAGAAGGAACGGGATGGTTTTCAGTCAGTAAGAGTCTGACAATCCCTCTCAAGAGAGAGAACTTTACTTCTTTTATTCTTTTTCTTTTTTTCTTTCTTTTTTGTTTTTTCGTTCTTTTTTTTCTTCCTTTTTCGTTTTTTCGTTCTTTTTTTTCTTTCTTTTTCTTTACTTATTCAGAAGAACTCATACTTCACAGCAAATAGCCAACAATTGAAAAAAAAATAAAAAGCCCGACGATTTGAGAACCTTCTGCTTTTTTTGAAGTCGGTTGATAAAATAAATAGGTATTGAAACACAACATACACAGAACATTGAACACTTATTTTGAAAACACAACACTGAGCACTAATTACGCCTTAATAATGTTCATTGTTCGGTCCACTTGACGTCCTTACATCGTAGGTGTACAAGCGTCAGGTATTCCATCTGTGATACATGCTGAGCTGGACTCCCATTCGGTGCAAACTAAAGACACATTGAACCCAGCCCTATTTTTTTCTCCGTTTTCTCTTTCATTGTTTTTCTTCTTTCGTACTATCCCTCTAATACGTAATTTTATAAAAAAAAAAAGTGTTTTTGCCGTGTTAATTTCGATACGGTTGGTGCGGTGGCTGGGCAACTGGCTGCCGTGCAACGTGTCGCGGGTTCGATTCTCGTACGGAACAACTCTTTGTGTGATTCACAAATTATTGTTTCGGGTCTGGGTGTCATGTGTATGTGAAATTGTATGTTTGTAACCGCACCGACCGAGAAAATCCTAAAGTGGGGCAACATTAAAAGAAAAAAAAAAACACCACCTATTTGTCAATTAATTTGTGTCTGTTATTTTATGTGCTGCATAAACGTCTTATCTGTCTACCTATCTAACAAACTTTTTGCATCATTTTGGGCCTTTCACTAAGTAAACAATGATGAAATTAATCCTTTGTGTGATTTACAATACATTTATCGCACTGCTGGTGTTCCAAGTGAACTTAAGGTAGGTATCAATGATAACGCTGTTGTCTATTTAATACCATAAGAAGCTATTATTAACAGATATTAATTATCATGAATGAGCGACACGATAGATAGCGATAAGGATAACTCATTAGAATGTGAAAAGGTTCTTTTTTTATATTTTTAAACTTGGAATCCGTATTTTTTATTTCATGTCAATGCTATTTAAATTTTATAAAAAAAAGAAAATCATAAGTTAATTTTTATGTCGATGATTTTATATCTATTGAAATAAGAGTTATTAATAAAAACTGTAATTTTAATAGTTTTACTATCCTTTAACAAACTAACTTATAAACTTGAAGGCACTGCAACCTTTTTCCCTTAAAAAATAAGCAAAAAAGTTATTAAAATTTCAATAAGCGATGTTAAATGATACTCATATTAAGAAAGTTTATAAGTAAGTTTTATTTTACAGTGCTGCGAGCAAAGCTGCTGGTAAAGGCTAGTACATACTTAGTCTCCCCAGAAAGAAAAATAAAAAAGAATCAAAAAGTTTTTATCGATACTAGTGATTAGTAACGAATCAGTTTTGCCCTATATCATATGTCGATAAGGCGATGTTTGGTATAAATATCACAAAAAACAAGTCATGATCTGATAAAAAAAAGTTACACTATAATTTCATGGCCAAAAAACACGTTTAGTAAAATTAGCAAAGTCATTTTATTTTTAACTATTTTTATTTTAATATCAAATAATTTGTAGCACATTTAAATAAAATAAAACTATTTTAAAATAAAAAGGATACTCATATCAATAAGTATGTTCATTTATTTTGTATTCTATACATAAATGTAAAATATATTACTATAAAGTATGAAATATAAATAGTTTTATTACGTTTACAATGCTGCTTTTATGACACTCAACTCTCTCTGAAAATCGTCAGATGATTTGAATTTACTTTCGTGTATATAAAACTCAAAACCGGAAAGATTTTTCACATATTATAGTAAAAAACCTTCAACCAAACTTTTTTAACAAACAAAACTATACAAACAGATATACCTAACTGAACTTGGCGCTTCACAACAGTACTTCTATATTGCGTAATAGATAAACGTTATAATTTATAAAACACTCAGTTGTTAAGTGCGCGGCCAATCGTCCAGTACGCGGTCGGATCGGGAGTTAAATAATAAAATGAATAAATGGACTTTAATAATATTTGGCTTAGTATTTCTAAGCCATGTTTGTGCATACAAAATACTCGTGGCATTTCCCTACCCAGGAAGAAGTCACTCCATATTAGGCGAAGGATATGTCAGACATTTATTGGAAGCTGGTCATGAGGTTCGTTTTTTTTTAATTCTTTTTTATTTACGATCATCTTTATATGACTGATAAGCCTGTCAGAAAGACAGGGATCTAATGCATGTAAGTTGCATGAATTAATGCCAACTAGCCGATATGGAAGGCATTAAAAGTTGCCAAATTAATTTTTAAAATGCTTTAATTTAATAATTTTGTGTGTAATCGTTGATTTATAAGATGCATTTTCGTTCGGTCAATAATTAAATTGAACGGAAGATATGTAATAACAATGTCACCAAGTCACAACTATCGTCTCGAGTTTTAAAGGTCAAGGCAATGTCAGTATGTTATGATATCGAAAAAGGAATTTTATTTTCAAAATGTACTATTAAATAAAAAGCGAACTGAAAATTATTTATATTATTTTTGTGTCTTTATGCTTAAAACAGTATTTTAATTTTATTTTTATGCTAAGCCTTATTTTATATGCGAAGTAAAATAATATCATAAATCTTATTTTAGTAAAATAATATCATTAATATTATTTTACTTCGCATGAGCGTTTAATTTAAATTAAAATTTAGAAGAATATTAAAGTTCATAATTAAATTTATTTTTGTTATAATATTAATCGGTGTTAATTAATTAAAAATTCTGTTCACGTACGAATTGTTTTGATTTAAATATAGCCGATAGCACATCAGTCTACTAATAGAATTGTCAATAGATTCGTAACCTTGAAGTTTTATTAACCAATAGCGTGCAAGTACAACGACCACGTTTATTTGAGAGATCCAAACAAATATAAACATAACAGATTGTACTGTTAGGTTATTTGTCATGCTTTAGCTCATAAATTACTGTGCCAATTTTCATGGATTTTGGGACACTATACAGACATTGCAAAACTACGTTGTTTTTTTATACTGCTTAGGTTGAAGCTAATTTCATATCGGTTATTTAATTTGTGGAATATATACCTACTACATATCTAGGTATATATGTGTGTATAGTGCATTATACGTTAATATACCTTTATTATACTTATGTCAATAATTGCAGTGAGTTGAAAAATACAGGTGTTTAAAAATGCCTAAGTAACTAAATCTACCTAATCTGTGTTTTACATTTTTATTTTTTAACTTAACTGTCAAATAAAAAAAACGCCTAAATCTTATATATTATACAAAAACCTGGTGTAATTTCTGGATTAAAACAACAAAATACCTGATAAGATAATAACAACCGTATTCCGTTCTCATAGCAACCACAATCTCATATTTACAACACTATCTTTGTACAAACATTAGTCTTTATCAGTGTTGCCAACACCAAGAGACAAAAAATAACAAATTACAAATAAAAACGCATTGAAAACCGTAGTATTATAATTAAATATTCAAAATAAAAAATAAAATTGAAAACAACTGAAAATATTATTTTGTATTCACTTGTAATTGAATTTATGTAAAGATTTTTTATGACTTTTTCTCGAGCTTTTCTGTTACTTCAAATGCTACAATCTATGGGGTTTAAATTTATTTGTATAAACAATTTGTATATACTGGATATGTATTTTGTTTCTATTAAATTGTTTCTGTCACCATCAGCTTCCTACACACCAGCACAAACTAATGCAGAAGCAAAGGTACACAACTGAACAAAATATTTTAACAGTTCACATCTTTAAAAGTGGCACTAAAGGTACGCTTATTGAAAAATACTCAAAAGGAGGCGTCGTCGCGAATAAAAAAGCAACTAATCTACTGTTACAACACTAATGTTGGCAACACTAGCCTTCATGAATATCTAACGACACATCGCTTCAACCAAATCGTTTGCTATTTAGATCCAAACTCAGACTCACCTGTTTTAAATTTAGTTCCAGAGGAAACGTAAGTTTGAGCTCATGTGGTATTCACGGTCGGTCAAGCGCTACCACTAACAACTTAGCTGACATTCATTCAAATTCAGAACGCTTCGCAACTTTGGATATAAAAGACGTTCTAAAGTCGTTATAGACCATTCGCGGTATTTGTCAACTACTTCTTTAAAATGGAAAATGATTTAATATTTACGAGCGTTTAATGTCTTTTATTACTCACAACTATTATTTATCAGTTTTCCGTTGCAAGTCTGATTTAAAGTTCGATGTTTTGTGGAAGCAAGTTTTAATTTTAAAGTCGCATTTTGATTTACTTAACTGCCATTTTATTTGGAACTAGCTTTCAAGAGACAAAAATCAAAGTATAAAGTAATGAAATTCGGTCTAAACTTTAAACTTATCAATTAGACCAATAAAGGAAGTTTTTGAAGTCAAATTTGTAGCTGTACATGATTGTAAGCTTAAATCTTTAAAACTACTCAACAAATTTTAATGCTATCTTTTAATAGACTGAGTAATAATTTAATAGCAACATTTATATGTATAATAATATCAGTTGAAAAAAAGCCGGAGCCTAACTATAAGAGATATATTCTATATATACGGCTTATGTAAACAGTTTCTCTTACTACACAAAATAAAGAAAATTAACGCTTCATAAACCGAGTCTGGGCCAAAAGTTAAAACTTCCTTAATGAATATTTTATCCAGCACCACTTTGGTAGCATCCAAAATTCATTCAACGATTTGCCAACCACAAATTTCAAGGCCAATTTGGGGCCATCCGAATGACCCAACACAACTTATAATGCCACTACCTAAAGGCACAGCTTGGGTCTTAACCATCAATTTGTTGTACAAGGTACAGGGAAATTCAAAAAAAGTATAGGCCCTACAAATGGTATATGAATAAAAAGTGGCCTAGCCCGTGACTCCGGTAATTTCGTATTCTGCTGACGTTTGAGGAACTTTTTCATTCTGAGGTATAATTTCACTTGCGAATAATTTCCTATGCGTTCCACTGAATAAATTGACGAGGTCTCTTGTTATGAAAATGTGTAAGTTTGTTCTGGGCATGATATGGTTCGGGTCAAAGTAAGTTTTTGGGGTAAGGGTATGAATTGAGTAGTTTATCCGTATTAGTAAATATCTTGTATCACCATTGAAGTATATATATATATCTTAGATGAATATAATTTTGTCGGAAGTTTAAGTAGTATATATAAATGGATGGCATAATGTGCCTGGACCAATTTAGACAATTATTTTTTGGTGTATTTCTTATAGTCAGTAGAAGGTTATTATGAAATAAAATATTACAACAGTACGGGGGGAAATTGGGAAAAAATTACCCGTTCATTGTTAGTTAGATAGTTTGACCCGTGCGAAGCGGGGGAGGGCCGCTAGTTTTGAATAAGTTTAATAATTATGTTTTCTGCAATTTTTTTGTATGTTTAAGGTATGATATATGTATATAGTATATATTAATTAACCTTTCAATCGTGGTAATTCGAGACACAATAGTAAGACAATAGGTGCGCATAAAAATAAATATTTTATTACACTGTATCAACACACAAGACAAGTAATCATATGTAATAAAAAAAAAGTTATGCTAATTTGTTTTTCAGGTGACATACGTTACTGCGCATGCTTACAAAAAGCCTCACCCTAATCTTCGTCAAGTTGTGGTGGCGTCGGTAATCGACAAATTCGAATTTGGTAAGTGGCAATTAGGAACTGACAATAATTGGGAGGAATGAAGTGACAATAATTGGGAGGAATGAAGTTAATATCATAATTACTAGTAAAGACTACCTAGAAAGACTAGATTTACCTACAAAGGATATTCGAACTTAGTCAGAGTCAAATCATTAATTAACAAATAGACCACTACGAATACATTTGAACGTCAAAAATATAAAAAAGTTCAACTTTTTGTGTCAGTCTGTCGGTCTATTCTCTATTGAAAGTATAATATTTGCTCGTTCCAAAGTGTAGATTCCGATGAAGAAGAACGAGCAAGAAACTCCATTGTTACTTTTTTTTTAACCAGTTTCACAATTCATTTTTTAGTTTAGTCTTTGATAATGACTGTCACGCAACGTGTCGCGGGTTCAATTCAAAAAAAACACTTTTCGTGATCCACAAATTGTGCTTCCGGGTCTGGGTGTGATGTGTATCTAAAATGGTACTCGTATGTTAGTAAACGCACCCACGACACAGGAGAATTCAAACTGCGAGACTTTACCTAGTAATTATAACACAAATAATATACCCAGAAATGCTCTGGGTGCCTACTGCGTAAGTAAACGACGGTATGTAAGGCGCCCAACAGCGAACTCAAGGCGAGCTGTGAGTGCGCTGTATCGTCCCGTGCCGTGCCATACTAATTCTAGTAATTAACGGTAACGATAGTATGTAATACTAGTCAGGTTCAAACTGAATTGCTTACCTACTACGGCAACCAAACAATAACATTACCTATCTATTTGTAAAGAGCTTGTTTGAACGCGCTAATCCCAGGAACTACTGGTTGGAATTGAAAAAAGAGGAAAGCTTTAGGCTATATAAAATTATGCAACAATCTGTAGGAGCCGAGCAGCGGATAAAACCGCGCGAGAGTAACTAGTTAATGATATTCTCGCACATCAAAACATTCATCATCATCATCAGCCTTTAAGTGCCCACTGCTGAGCAATGGCATCTTCTCCTACAGAGAAGGTTAAAGCATAATCACCATGGTTGCTCAATGCGAGTTGGCGATTTCAAACTTATAATTAGGAATTATAAGTTCAGGTTACCTCACGATGTTTACCTTCACCGTATGTCAGTGGTGTCTAAATAATCATAGAAAGTACGTATGTATAACTCGGAAAAGTCACATTGGTAGGTACTTGCCAGGATTCGAACTCACACCCTCATGCATGAGAAGCGGGCTCCTTAACCTCCGGGCCACCACGACGCACATCAAATAAACGGTATTAATAAGAAATTGGTATAATTAAGTAAGTAGATACTTGTACTGACAACTACAACACTATGTCTTGTGTACAAATGTAACTATATATTTTTCTCTAAGTGGCATGTGCGTCTCACATAACACAATTGCTATGATTGATGTAACAACTCTCATATCTATAGCGGAAATTGAACATAAATGCAGTAATGTAATTTATTAAACAATGGTTGTGTATTTATATACAATAGACTGTATAGTTAGGTACTTAAAAGACGTCATTGCCACTTGTTATATTACACAAGAATCTAGTTTTAATATTTGTTAATAATATTTACTTATTTTGACGGTGCTTAGAGATACACTACAATTATTATTTTAGAAAAATAAGCGATAAACCTTATTTTAATACTACACAATATCTACAATTTGTGGATCATACAAAGAATTCTCGCGACACGTTGAGCGGCAGCCAGTTGTCCAGCCACCTCGCCAACCGTGCTTCTAATAACTATCCTGGAACCGTTTCCGATGTATGATCTATATAGTTTCACAATTTAATTTATTTGAGACTGCATTCATAAAACACTGTACATAGGCGGACTTAATGCAATAAGCATTCTCTACCAGTCTACCTTTGGGTGATGCAGAGATAATCTAGTGGCAGGTGCAGAAGCAAGCATTTTGTTATGTACAATTTTGTTATGTCTCCGATCCTTTTAATTTAAGTTTTAATATGATAAACAAATCATTTGTTTTCTTTCAGCACAGTCATTAGATTTCAAGAAGATGTTGACAAAAGAGGCAGATTTCAAGGACATGTTTGCGATGTACGAAATCATGGCAGTAATTGCAAACAGGTCGCTTACACATGATAATGTACAGAAATTCTTGATGGACCCTAATGAGAAATTCGATTTAGTTATCGCTGAATGGCTGTATCATCACTTGTATGCTGGGTATGTTTTTTGCATTTTTGCATGCAACTGCCAACATGGTCAACTTTGATGATTGTCAGAAGATGATATTGTCATCTTGTTGTTCCTAGTTTAGATTTCATCAGTTCTCTGGCTGCTGATTTTTTATCGCAACAGCAATTCATTTATGCTCAATGCTTCAATGCTTAAAATGTTTTTGTTAAATTATTTATCCTCTTAGTTCTCAATAGGCTAATTGTTACTAGTCTGGAAAGCATTTGGCAACAGCCTATCTGCTTGTTGCCAAACGCTCCCTATGTCTACCTTTGCAGGTAATAACAGAAGCTTTGTAGCTAACTTTTTGGCATATCTACATCACATAATCGGTCTAAAAACCTTTATATTAAATTATAATTAAAAATGATAAGTCCAGGGTTTTCACGATGTTTTTCTTCACGGGACATAAATGACGATGATGTTTAATTAATCTTAGCAAGCACATACAAATTATCATTCAAATCACCAACGCCACTGTTATAGTTATATTTTTTAATAAATTTATTTTATTATATTCTAGATTTGCAGCTATATTCAACTGTCCGTACATATGGTCGTCTTCAATGGAACCTCATCCAGTTGTCCTGGATTTGATTGATGAGGTTGGCAACCCGGCTTATTTCCCCGATCACATGTCACCGGTCTCGCCACCGCTTACTTTCACAGAGCGTGTCAGTGAGCTTTGGTACCTAATCTATCTATACAGAGTTCTATGGTACGTACAGATAGTCAATTTACTACAATTAAGGATGTTTTTTGTAAAAATAAAATTGAATTGTATTAAAAAACGAGATCGATTTGCAAAAAAATATTGGATACTATGAATATATTTAAAAGAGAATGCTGATGAAGACCACACATGATTTATTCCATAAACAAATATTTTATATATTGGTAGTTCCACAGAAACTGTGTTCATCCCAGTAAAATAAATTTTACATTGGATTTCTCAGTAGTAGCTCAGAACACGATCTCCATAAAAACGCCTCTTCCACGTAAATTATTAAAGCTTTCGTTGCTATAGAAACAAAATTAACCAATTATAATTATTATCAGGTTCGTACGAGATATGGAAGAAAAGGCATTCAGAGATTCCTTTGGCCCTGCTGCAGCAAAAAGAGGAATTACCTTACCGACTTTGTACGACCTTAAGTACAATAGTTCTATGATGTTAGCTAATTCCCATTATTCATTGGGTGATCCGCAGAGGTTGCCGGCAAGTTATGCTGCTATTGGAGGATATCATATTGAGGATGAGATCCCACCATTGCCAAAGGTACATTCATATCTTATTGTGAAGATTGTTTTGGATTTAGGATTCACAATTACAACTCATCGACATGATTAAAACATTATGTATCTCTTAAAGTTTTGCTTCTACAAACTAAGTACCAGTAACAACAAAGCTTAAAGACCGTCTGCTTCTCGAAAGAACTTCATTCAAACTTGTTGTACCATAGAAATAATAAATATCTACCCCTCCCTAACTGACTGATAGACTCTTAATGAAAACAAGAAATATTTATTCATTATACTTATAAACATTGTTATATTTCGATGAGATTTTGATTGTGTTCTAGAAACATTTTTCTTACCATTGCCATATTTTTTTAGGACTTACAAAAGATTATGGACAGTGCCACTGATGGAGTTATTCTCTTCAGCATGGGTTCTATGATGAGAAGTGAAACCTTGCCAATAGAAATCCAAAGAGAGTTATTGGATGTATTCTCAAAATTAAAACAAACAGTTATTTGGAAGTTTGATGGAAGTCTGGAAAATGTGCCAAAGAATGTACACATGGTAAAATGGGCTCCACAACCAAGTATTTTAGGTAAGTTTTTGAATAAAGGTCTAATGGTGACAATTGAAATGCTGACAGAATGATTTAAAGGCTTAGTCGTTGCCTATGATTTTCAAAACCGTTTATGAGAAAATAAATTTAAAGTTGGATAAATTGTCTTCACAGTGTTTTTAGCAAACGACATTATGTAGTAAAAAATAAAATATGGAAATAACTTAGTTAATCAATTAAAATGTAATCGAATCAAATATTACAAATATTTATACGCATCTTTTAAACAAAGTATGAAAATAAACCCACATTGATTAATTTTCCATTCCCATTGTAATGGAATATTCGGACTCTTTTGCAATAAGTGATTGCAGTGAGTCGAATACAATAAAGTGCATACATAAATAAAATCAATTTTCAACCACAATTTCAAAATAATCCAAAGCCCAAAAGCGCAATGTAACGAAAAACTGAATATTTTGTTTTTAAATACACTCATTGTGCACTACATATTTCATTCGATTAAAACTTGGTTCCTTTTTCACTCCAACAATTTTAAAGTACGTGTAATCTTTTACAATAGCGTTACTGACACTCACATCTGTCGATAACACCATTCGTAGGACCGCAACCAAGCCGTCAATGTTGGCTGTGTCGGGAGGATTAATATCGGATATGACATGTTGATCAGTTTTTACAATTTAATATCTCTTTTTTAAAATGAAGCTTTTAAAATTGTTATTTTTGTTATGGTTTCCCCTGAAAACTTAAAAAAGTGTTGGTATTGTTAACCTAGTATTATCACCAACATATAACAAATCTTTCATTGGACCTAGTGCCAAAATTAGGACTAATTATGTCTTTAATATTTGTCAAAATTATTAATAAAGACTTAAACACAAACTTTATTTGCCCAAGTCATAAGTTTCTCGTTAGTTTTTGATCTATGAATATAATAATGATTGAAAAAAAATACTTTTCTTCACAGCCCATCCGAACGCCAAAATCTTTGTCACCCACGGCGGTCTTCTGTCAACAACGGAAACCATACACTATGGAGTTCCTATTATTGGCATACCGTTATTTGCTGACCAATTCCTAAACGTAAAAAGGGCAATTCGTAAAGGTTTTGCCTTGGAAGTAAACCTAGGATATGATATGGCAGCAAAATTGCAAGATGCTATCCAAGAAATGTTGTCAAACCCTCAGTGAGTATTAAGACACAGAATTTCTAGATCCTTCCAAACTTATCTTGCTAATGTTTATTTATTTATTTTCATTTACAGATATAGAGAAAAGGTTAAGGAATTGTCCTTTATTTACCACCATCGGGAGACAAAACCTGGTAAAACCCTTGTACATTGGGTTGAGCATGTAATAGAAACAAATGGTGCTCCTCATCTGCGTTCACCAGCTCTTCACGTCCCAGTGTATCAAAAACTCTATTTAGACCTTTTAGCTTTAATTGTACTAGGGCTTTTAGTTGTAAAGAGAATATTCAAGCCATTATTTAGTTCTAAAAATGAAAATAAGAAGAAAGGCGAATATAAAAAGAATAAGAAAAATTGATGAGAAATTCGCTTTTGAAGAAGTAGATTATCTAGGGGCAAATGGACGTATGAAGAGTACTGACATGTGTATTCTTGCTGTTTACTGGAAGATATCGTCCATTTAAATTGCGAACATAAGATTTAGAAAATTTTACACGATTTTATTAAAATTTAAGTTTCAATTATTACAACATTTTATTTTGACGTTTATTCCTAAGTAAAACCACATTCCTTATTAAATATTTTGTTTGTGATGCGACAGCAAACTATTAAACAAATTACGAGATGGTAAGCAATCGGCGGCGCTGTTGGACATGCAACATCAGAGGGTTGTGGAGATTTAGGAATGGGGGGAGGGATGAAACAGGATTAATCATCCCGTAACCCGACTGACACAGCGAAACATAACGCTATGTTAGTTTCCCGTCGGTCGTCGGTCTGTTAAGCCATGTTACCATTCAGTTCGAGCCTGCCCATTAGTGCCGAAGCATGGCTCTCCCACACTTACTGTTTTTAGCGACGGTATTATAATTTCAGCCAATAGATCCTTATCAAACCGCAACCAATTGCGTAGGTTATTAAACTTTCAGATCCCATACACACTCGTGCGGGGCTTGGCAAACTTTCCAATGTAACCTAAAAATAACGTGGGTTAGCGGTTGGTCAAATATATAAAATCCATTCGTCCCCAATTTGCGACACGCATCAAATTGCCTGATAGGACTGGCTTTATTTAAATCTTTTGTTTGTTTAGGCCTTTCAATGTTTTAATAGTATCGAACATACTCTTGTGCGCTCCGTTTAACAAAATTATTATGAATATTTCACATTTCCATTTCATAATGTTTGATGAAGCAATGAGTTATAAAAAATTGATTTTTCAATGTTTTGATGGATTTTAATGATTCTGTGAATTAATGATGACTGTCGCTTACTCAGACTGACAATAATTTAAATGTAAGAATATAATTATTATTATGTTCCTTGTCATATTGTATTTATCGGTAAGCACATAGAATACATACTTAGTAGGTCAAAACATCACAAGTAAATCCACAAGACTAAATGACCTGATTAGATAGTTTTAAAAAGAGTTCAAAGACAATTTGTGTAAAATATATGTACAACTTCCAACAACGGGATTTTCATTGACCGTTAAAGAAACTGTAAAAATTGGAATTAAAGTTCATCCAATTAGGAGTTCTACAATATACCACAAGAGCAAGCTTGAGGCAACTTGAACAACTTTTAGAGCTAGCACGAAGTTAGCCCTCAGCACTTAGATGGTTGGAAGAGTACACAATCGAAACCTCTAGAGTTCAATGTTTCCAGGAAGGAGGAAGTTGAAAATAAATTTTTATCTAGTAATAATAGGCTGCGGTGATGGACCTGCCGTTAGGGAGGATTTATTTCTATGAGGAAGGCTGAATGAAGCTAACGGATCGTAAGTAGTCAAAGGAGTCACTGGTGCCTTAATTGATAGCATTTTTAGGCAGAGAAAGTTTTTTATATTGTTTGGTAATCATACCATTCCCACTATCGAGGATAGAAAATACGTCCAAAATCGAGATTGTATTAGTTTTTTTTTTAAAATCCCCCACTTTAGGATTTCCCCCTGTGTCGTGGGTGCGTTTACAAACATACAATGTCACATACACATGACACCCAGACCCGAAACAACAATTTGTGGATCTCACAAAGTGTTGTTCCGTGCGGGAATCGAACCCACGACACGTTGCACGGCAGCCAGTTGCCCAGCCACCGCACCAACCGTGCAGTCCAGTAGTGTGTTTGAGAATTTCAGAAACGTCAATTTAAGATTACCTAACGAGACACGACATGAGTCTATAAGTTCCTGTTGCTCAGCAGAGGCCGCATTAGTGAAGAAATTAAAATCAACAGTTTTACGAATATCACGATTAAGAAAAATACTTTTATAAAAAAATGTTATTAAACCAATAACATCAAATAGTTACAATATTTATGAAACAAGTTCGGTGTACTGCAAACAGTTTAGTTGGCTAGTCGTAAATAGTTTTGTAATAATTTCTGAGAATATATACAAAACACAAAATGGCAAACTGTACCGGCTGTGTGTCGTTTACAAGCTGTGACAGTGAACTGAGCAAAATAGGTTAGTTGGTCTCACGATCATTTTGTACTAATGCTATTTCTACATAAAACTACTTACCGAATTACTAGAAAATGAAATTGTTTAATACTGAAAATGAATTGTGATTTCTGTTTTCATAATTCATTTACAAATTCGGAGTAAATAAATTATACCTGCAGTGTTTTACAGCACAACAGTTATGTTAATATACCCATATTATAATTAATAAGTTATGATCTCGTGTAGTATTTACTAATAACATTTTATAATATGCAGTCGCCATAAAGAGTACCATTAGTACAATTTAATTTTTGGCATCGACAGTTGGGAGGTGTGCCTATCCTAATTTCTATTTATATAGCCGATAATGATAGAAAAGGGTTGCCAATGTGTTCCTTGAAAAAATATATTAAGTTTGGTTAAGTTCGTGATGTTTTTTCAAAACCATTATCGACAATGTTTCACCATAACAATTCCCCAAAACTAGTATACACAGGACAGTGTTGTTTCAATAATAACAAGCTTGATCCGATGTTGTGTACGATATAGAGAATTTCCATTGTTTAACATGAAAACCGTCCAACCATATAATCCCATGCCGTCACTTACGTAACTCTGTGGTCTATTACACGACCTACTACAAGGTAAACTTTATGCAAAATTTGATCTGCAAACTCAGCACCTTAGTCGGTAGCTCCAAGCTATACTTGAGATGCATCTAACTTTAACATTGTTCAGAGCTCCACAGTTAGGGTGTAACTGAAAATTAATCGGTAATTGAAAACATGGTTAACGTAACTTGATTTAACTTGTTCGATCTGTTGTTGGTGCTGGTTTTGTTTCGCAGACATCCAAAGTAAGTGTGTTCTTTTTTCTTATCACTTAAAATTTAATATAATTTGACGGACCGCCTTCGTCCAACTTTTCTAGTTGCTCATTACAGTTCCTTTTAATAACTTTGTGCCTAAATAATCTGCTTTTATGAAACTCTTTTACCAATTATTTCAAATAATCCTATTTGCTTAACTTGCCATTTATGTTCCTAAATATCCTTTTTTATTTCACAATTTATTTCTACAACATTTACAATGACACGAGCTCCAGACAGACAGAAATGATCATTTTACTATGCATGGGAAGGGAGTTTCACAACAATATGTTTAGATAATGCTCATTCTGCGAAATAATACGTTTCACAAACATAATGTAGTTTATTGTTTATGTATTTTTCTAGTTGTTCTATCTGAAACGTAAGTAAAATCTATAAACATTAGCTCAATAGACTGCCACGTGTCATTTATAGCATTCTCAATTTTAAGATAGATTCATGATAGCAAAATTTTAAACTTTAGTGGTTTTTGGTTGCTATTTTAAGTGATAATCCTGTATTTACTGTTTATATGATAAATAAATAAAAAAAGTGGATTTTGTTAAACATTCTTGAATCAAAATACTTTATTTTATGTGGTAGGATGGCAAACAAGCATATGGTCAATCTTACAGTAAGCATCATCACCACCCATGGACGCCACATGCCCTGCCACAACGGAAAAGTTACGAGTGCGTTGTCGACCTTTTGGGGATTTGGAGATTTTTGAAGAAGAGGCTCGTTTTCAAAATGACTTAGATATCCAAATCATCATGTCCGCCACAACATCGGTTTTGCAAACAATGATCAAAGTACTAATTTGTTAAGACGAAAATTGAAGTCAAACTAAGAATTTCATTCATCAAAAAACAAAACAAAAAAAATTTTTGCTAGGTTTCAATTTTATTCAACATTCTTTTTCTTTCATGCCAAAAACATCAAACCAATCAACTGTCGTGACAATCTACGAAACCTAAAATTTTAGTCCGTAGACAATTCTCTAGCAAACGGCCTCGTTGTAGTTGACACAGTAAAGGGTTTTGCTACCCAAAAAACTCAGCCGTTCAATATTCAATCAAAACAAAGAATTGTAGGTCGTTTTTACTCTCCGTTTTTGTAGGTCTATCGTAAAAAAATTTCAATCTTAATAATTTGAAAAATGTTTTGTTCTACTATGAAATATTATTTGATCGAGTTTTTATTTCGTGATTCTTTCCAGAATTTTGAGTCATTTGTTTGAAGACAGGATATCAAATGGCGCTTTATTATATGTTCCTTCCTGTCATACTTATCGTTTCTTAGATTCTTCTTATAATATCTTACTAATATTATAAAATGCGAAAGTAACGATGTTTGGATGTTTAAATGTTTGAATGTTTGTTAATCAATCACGCTAAAACCGCTAGACGGATCTAGATGAAATTTGGCACAGACACAGAATACACTCCAGAAAAGGACATAGGCTACTTTTTATTAACATACCATTAGGGCGAAGCCGCGTGCGTAAGCTAGTTTATTTATATTTCATATACCTCTTTATTATAAACTAGCGTCTCCCGGCTAGCGGCTTTTCTCACGTAGCCACGTTGAACGGGGTTGCGGGGTAAGCGCAATGAGGCACCGCGGCCTCGGCCTAAAGCAGGAGAAGGAACCGGTGGTTTTAGTCAATAAGAGTCTGATACTCTCTCTCTCTCGCCTGTCTCTCCTCTCCATCGTCTGACAAAAAAGCCTAGTATCATTTCAGATTTAAACATTTCTATGTGCCATTTTTTTATCAAAGTGTGTTCAGTAGTTTTTACGTAGGTGTAATAAACCATCCATCGATTCACCTATCCATACTTAATTCGCGTTTGCAACATTTGTAGGACCTGTAAAGTTTCACGCCAAATCGAGAAAAATTTCACGATATACATCGTTCTCCTCTCTAAAGACAGCAAGTAATCAATAGATTTTTTTCTTGAAGTATTAGTTCTATCTACCTTATATTTATTTGCTTACTGTGATAATCGATCATCACATTCAATTGAGGCGGCCTTAACGGATTCTTAAAAGCAAAAAGCAGTCTTGAATCGGTAAAAAAATATTTCATTTCTATGAAT